CTTAATTCTCAACCTCCCAAAAGGAAAGCACCTAAAAGTCATATCTCCGGCACATATACATATAGCCATATAATATTATGCTTAATCTGGGAGTTTCAATGAAGACCTTCCATCCATGGCTCTACTTTACGGGGATGATCATGATGGAGGTAGCTAGGAGTATGGCTGAAGATAAGGTCACTATATGTCATTTAAATTAATGAGAGGCACCACCCGGCCACTAGTAGGGTTATCAAAAGTAGAACAACAATGTGTTTTCCTTTAGACTTTAGACAGATTGGTGCGTGTGAGATGAAGTGTAAACATCATCATTATCATCATCTTGTCCCACTAATCAATATTCATGTGCGAGAAAGAAGACCAAGAGTACGTATATTCTATATATATATATATATATATATATATATAGCTCATAGGGGTTAGGCTTAGTCATGCCATTACTGATGAGATTGGCTTCTTTTGGCAGACTGTGGTTGCAAAATGCAAACCCATCTTGCCTAAAATCATTGTGCCTCTTTTTCTTGCTTTCTTTGTTATGAGTGGCCGAGTGGGAGACTTGGACTTTGTCCATAAACTGCTTTAACTGTTCCTCCTTGTCCAGCTGTTAATAATTAGTACAAACGCTGATGCCCTCTTGATTTGGTTGAATTTAAGAATGTGGAGCACTTAGGATTTCTAGTGCAGATGGATGCATATTAAGAAAACAAATATTGGGGTTGATCTTCTTCTTTAGTTCCTTTTATTACTATTTTTTTCCATATTTTTCAAAGTCAAATTAGGTTTTGATTGACTCAAGTTGGATGAATTTTTTAGGGAGAATCATGGACAAGGTGTTTACTCCATAAACAGTAAAGACTAATTTCTCTTGGCTTTTTAAAATTATATAGATCTCTCGTTTTTCTTTTCCTTCAAATTATATAGGCCTCCTATTACTTGACATATCCTATAGACAAACAAATTGCATAGATGTTGAATTTGGTTGAAATTTTCTTTATAATTTTAACAAAATTTGAAGGATGTCCATGTGATCATTTGGGTGAAAGTTGTTATATTGTCTGCATAGTGCCAAAGTAGTGGTGCCTAGGAAAGGGGAAGATTTTTGCACTGTTGCTCTTTTGAAAGTTTCACATTGTAACAGCGAGAGAGTCATTATTACAGGTATATATCAGCTATCACTTTGAAAACCGAATATTTGGAAAAGAAGAAAAGAAAAGAAAGAGTTTGGTTTGGTATTATCATGAATATGTGAGAGCAAGGATGGTGGTGTCCACAATTGATGGTGTGAACTGAGAGAGGACCAGGCAGGCCCACAACACTGATCGTGGACACCATAATTCATTAATTTGTATATATCACTGTTGTTTGGAATTAAACTCTCCAACGTAACGTGATGTATGAGAATGACAGTGTGACTGTGATTCCTCTTTCATGTCTGTCTTCCCATCAACTTTGTCTTTTTCTTTTTTGTTTTGTCCTCCTTGGGAGTGGTTCAAATCACAGAAACAGAAAAGCCTCCTCATATATACATAAAGCATCACAATTTATGGATTTACTGTTGTTTCAGTTGAAATCAAACATCATGTGTATTTTCAGAGGAACTATGATTACTGTGTCTGCTTCACTTTCAAGATATATGCCTGTCCACTCGGTGCTCAATCTGCTCTACATTATACTATACAAAAGCATGATTAGTGGAGGGATCACTATTGGAAGAAGATCACAACATCACATCCAAATGTAATTACACCAAATCTCTGTCATGTTAATCTGTTGGTTCACTTCAGGCTTTGATGTCACAAATTAAATTACGGACCACAATCAATATGTTATTAAAATGGCAATGCCATTTGAATGTTGGTCGTCCATTTCTGTGTTGCATGATTAGCAGTTCTCTATTGTATTTTCTTTTTGGTTGATTCACATGTGCTATTGTTGAACAAGTTCACTTAATTTCAGCAACACTCAATAATTTACTCTTTACATTTTAAGAATGCCTATGCAAGTTTCAGCACCATCTAGGAAGGAGATTTAGCCCAAAACAAGAAAGAAAATCATGCATGTATAATTTTAGTGAAATTGGACAACGGTTCATATTAAATCTATGCAATTGATTTGCTGTTAAAATTTTCCACAAAGCATAAAAAAGACCCATGATCAATATATGAAGATAATTGAGGGGTGGAGCCCACATGGGAGTTGATAGATGCAAGTAATAATAATAACGAAGCAACCAAAAAGGGAAGATGATGGAGGCTCTTAAAAGTGACAAAACAAAGGGGACCCAATTGCATTATAAAGGGAAGGAAGAGAGTGAATTGAATGATGAGTCAATTGGGGGTGTGGGGTTAGAGAGAGAGAGTAGAATAATCCACAAGACATATGCAAAGGATCAGCAAAATCAAGTGGGAAACCTACCTGTTTGATGAAGGCCCATGTGTGTGTATTTAATAATAAGATGTGAGTGTTTGAGGTTGATGTGTATAAGAGAGAGTACTGGCGGAATAACAACAGATAGTGACTCCACACCTTAGAATTGTGGCCACCCCCCTCCCCCTTCCTTGTTTTGTCATCACCTTAACTGTGTCCATGTCAATAATCCATGTGCACCATTATATTTCATTGTTCATGTTTTTTCAGATATCATGCCCCACCCATTTAATACCTAATCAGACCTCATTCATTTGCTATGTGTCCTTTTGGATGTTCTTATATTTTTTTTTCTCATAAGGGATTGCATCATTCATCTTCTCCCTAAAATTAAAGAGTCAATTGTACACATTTCCCTTTAATTTGATGGAAATTACACAAGCCTCCTTTTTATCATCAAGGGAGAGTTATGTACATCCTAAGCTTTAGAAAATATATATAGTTTTTTACATAAAAAAATTGTTTGGTTTATGAAAAAGTTTGCAGAGTCTATCTTTTCAGTAAAACAAAAAAGTGAACTGTATAAATTTTGTAAATTAAATTATGTGATTATAGTAAAATCTAGAAAAGCTGTATTCATTCCATAAATTAATTAAGTAGTTGTTGAATCTTGAGAAAACTACAAAGAGAGAGGAAGAGGGAATGGGAATAAAGACAAAGTACCTTAGAAAACAGAAACAAGGGAAAGGTAAAAGGCAAGTAAGTCGGTGTGGCGTGGATGGATTGGAATTTGAATAAGGGGAAGCAAAGGGGACACCACAGAAATGGTGGCGAGATGGAGGCAATTGGTTTGATTGACAGTGCCAACTGAGAAAAACACTGACATGCATGTGATTCAGGAAAGTATGTGCCAATTTAAGGCATCTCATCACAGCAAAACACACGTCACTCCAAATACACACACAAGTGTCTTTCACTTGCAAATCTTTCTGATTTCCATGCCCTGACTCTGACGTTTATGATGAGCACCATGCTACTGCTATTCTTTAAAGCCAAACACATCCATCCCTACCCTAATAATAATTGTCTTCTTCATTCATCAGTGAAAAGTAGTAGCTGTAGTGGAGTGGGTTCACTTTACCTTTCATCTTATTCTATTCTTGCAATGCCTCACAAGCACCTCAAGAGCTACCAAAATCCATTTCAACCGTTGCCTTCTCCATCACTAAATGTCCTGCATCATCTTTATTTAACATCCGTCTCTTTGGGGATAACAATTGTACAGTTTTGAATAAAGAGTGAACTACAGGCACGTTTTAGTGTTTTCATCACGACATAAAGTTAATTAGGCCTGGATTGACACTTGAACATCAATTTTTCATCACGTCCATCATGGGATTCAAGGCCATCATATTAATTTGTGATCATCAAAATTTGTGTTTCTTATGATCTCAAGCGACAAGGTATAGTCTCCCATGTAGATATTGCTGTCGGGGCATTGTTGACGTTGATATTTGATGAGGTCCACTTTGGACAGAAGGTAGGCAAATTTGGTGATGCTGGAGAAACCTTTAAAATATAATATTGAAACTGCTCAGAGATTCTTTTAATTTTAAACAGCAAAATCAACATTATTTTGCAGCAAAAATATTGACGTTCAATTAATTTAAATGACTAAAATCATTAAAAAAAATTTTATTCAAACTAAGCGCAACAAGAATTCAGATGGGGCAAAAATCTTACCTTAGTTTTTGGCTGAGGATTCTCACCTTTCAGGTCGCAAATTCTTTGGTTGTCCCACTGAACCGAAAGGTATCATTATGAGTGCATCCACTATTTTGACAGTGAGAGAGAAATGAACAACAAACACTCATTCGTATTGGTGATCAGCTGCTGCAGATCTTGGAATAAAATATATACCAAAATTTCAAGCAAAAGGAAAATGAAATTCCTATATTCAAAAAAGGATGCAAAGTGGAAGAATTTTAAATGCCCACAAATCCACCTAAACCTGCTAACAGGTGTAATAGCCAACCCAGTCTATCAATGTTGTAACAGATCATATTCCTCGGGCAACCTCAAAAAGACAAGTAATGGTTTGAACTAGTCATAAATTAGTTTCCTTTTGTAAAGTGTCATCACATGCCAAAGTGACTAAAGCCTCAAACTCATATGCTTCAAGTGAAAACGTGCCTTGTGCTCACTGTTCATTCCTGCTGTGGTATTGGATTCCTACAACAATATGTATGGTCAAGTAATTTACATGATCAATGGAAAAGTCGTATACCACAACCATCTAGAAGATCAAGGGAGCTGTTTTCAAAACCCCTCTGTCAACCATTCAACAAGGCGATTCCTGCTTACAATGCCAGACCAGCAGATCTGTACATATTCAGAGGATGGACTTCCGAGTTACATGTTCTTTTGGCAATGTTTAGCGCATGAACGAGCGCTAGTACAGTAAATATTTTAATAATATCCCGATAGATTTGAGGATACTATTCTTCAGACGAGTGAATTGCTTCAGAATGAAAAGAAGTTGATTTCTGCAAATATTTCTGCCCGTTCAATATCGACCATATCTTGTAAATGACACCGCCGTATACATCTGGCAGTGGTGTCACAGTACCCACAGAGATTGTATCACTGCTCATTTCAGTTAAGTATAACAATATCTACAAAGCCTCATCCCACTAAACTTACAAAGAAAAAATGAGCTAAATTATTTGAACAGTGTAAAATATGACATCTTTTATGAACAAGGAAGTCCCCATAAGTATGGTTTTTTAGTAATTCACCTGTTATCAAATTAGCAGGGTTGTTGTGATCCTGTAACTTCTCTGTTTAGTGTTCTTAACCGCCAAATGTAATTTATTTATTTTTTAAAGTATCATTAATTTCTTTGTCAACGAATTACACCTGTGTAATCTATGCAAGTGATGATTTGGAGACCATGGTTGCAGAAAACATTGAAGAACTCATGCTGCAGCATTAAAGGATAATTTAACCATTCCTATAATAATAATATTCTCTTTTCTCTTTTCCACAAAAGAGAAAGATGCAGTGCACATATTATTTTGAGAAGCGCAAGAACAGGCCCTGAAATGAGCTGTGTCTACATCCACTGGCGAAATAACTTCACAAACAGAAGTCCGATTAAGAAACTTACTATAGCATTCAAAGCATAATTTTTATCTTGCTCGTCACCGCGTGTTATAGCAACCTCAACGGCGATATTTTACAAAGTAAATAAAAAGTCTGCAGAAAAATGATGAGCTACCTAAAAGCACATGGATTGACATGGCTGCGCAAATTGTCAAGTTAATGCATCTGGACTATTGCAAGGGTCAGAAACTGACGTGATAAAGTTCTTGTGCATCACATTGTCCATGAAACTTGCCAAGTGAAAACAATTGGAATTGCCTGATTTAGGAAAGATTAATAACAGCTTTGTTTCTGACTAAGAGATTTTTACCTTTTTTTAAATTGTTCTAACCAACACTTCAATGGCTCTGTGTATCTGAAATTATCAGGCCAATGGACCATCGCAGTATTTCTTAGAGAAAATTCTATGTAAGAAAGATATGCCCGAGCACTGTATACAATTACAGGTTGAATTTCCTGATCATTTTTAAGCGGGTCAGAGATGGCGGATCACCGAAAAATATGGTGATTAAAATTCAACCTCTAAACAACAGTATGCAAAGAATTCTTGGTGTCACAAAGATCAATGTTACGTCTACCACTAAGTGCTACAAATTTATCATTAAACTGTAACAAAGGACACTTATCTATCAAGTTGGAACCATGGTAGGCTTCTTTGAGAAAAACTGTACTTCTTACACCCTTATTAGTGAGGTAAAAAATACCCTGATGCTTTATCAAGCAAAGCAATAACTTAGATGGTAAAAGATACTCTGAATGAAATGCGTCCAGCTGTGTAGATGTCATCCTCTTCTCCATGGTCAAACTCAGGAGCTCATGAAGAACTGCCACAACTCGTTTGCGAGCTTTAGGATCAGCAACATCAAATCTTCTCGCATTCAAATAAGGAGAAGGAAACTCCATTTTCTGCCACTTCTCAAATTGCTCAAGATAACCAACGTTTGGTCTAAAACCAGACGGAAAACTCACCCTAAATGCATGTGGACCTAGATAGTTTCCATCTTTTGATATCTTAACCTTCTTTTGATATTCAGCAGGCTTCAAAATTCCTTCCCGAGCTAACTTAGTCTCCCTAGCAGTGACAGCCAATGAAGAATCCCAATTTTCCAAAACAAGACAAGCTCTCCCATTGAATTCTCTCACAGAAAAGAAATTAGGGTACTTGGGAATCAAGGAGGTCTTGAAATCATGCGGCAAACCCAATTCTGGTCCAACAAATTCAATAGTTTCAAGTGGAACACAGCACTCAACAGATAACATTAATAACTTCCTCAGGTTGCTCACCAAAATTGGTTCCATAAGAGCCCTGGTCTCGGCTTCTCCACCGGCAATCTTTCTGGCCTTTTCAGTGAGACAAACGAAAGGAGGTTCTCTGTTACCACCACCAGCACGGAAAATTGAGGGGTACCTCTCTATAATAGACATAAAATTCCATTTCTGCACAAACCCTACATGCTTTTCAAGGTCACGTAGAAGGATGGATTGGTTTTTTTGGGATTGGATAATGGACTTCAACTGTAGAATCAGGGATGGCTTCTTCTGTAATTCCATGACCCTGTCAAGTTCAGGTACCCTGTGGTAGATTTTCTTTTTGGGTCTTCTACCACCGCCAGCTTTCTGTCTGATAGCCAACCACATGAAAGCAGGCGTGGGAATAGGGATTGGTCTGAGTTGGAGATGACGATGCATGAATCTATTCTTCCTTTGCTCAAAGAGAAGTTGGAGATGGATGAGTCAGCAAGCAGCTAAAATGAACACTTTTTGCAATTCTCGAAGGGGAAGACGATGTTGAATCCACACAAATCTGATCAAATACACTGGAATAGCACAAAATGATCAGACACAAAATAACCAGAGGAACATTTTACTCAAAAAATTACTTATAGGTTTTAGTATCATTGCAGGCAAAATCCATGCTTCCTCCGTCTGCAGCTGACTACTTTTGTGCTGGGAGAAACCCTGAACCCAGGGAGATAGATGCGGCTTAACCATGTAATGTTTATGGTGTTTGAACTCAATTCTGCCATTATATCACAATTATATGTCAAGCTTGTACATGCTCGTCACTCAAGATATGCATATATAATTGTATACAGATAGGATGAGAGGAGAGAACCAATTGCAAATCATTAAGATGGTCATATATATATATATATATAAATGATATCTTTACACCACAACCACCCGCACAGCCTTATACTCAGCAATTAAATTTAAATCGGCAGCAGAGGAGTCAAATATTCTTAAACTTGCTTGAAAAATCAGAGAACCAATAATTGTTTATACGTATCACACAATCATGGAAACATTTTTTAGAACAAATTAACCGCGGTAACAAAAGGGGGACGGAGTTCATGGGCACAAGCTTCATTTTAGTTCATAAACTAACATGGAAAATGGATTACAGAGCATTCATGTTTCCTCTATGTTGATAAGTGAAGAACATGGATTGTCAAATAAAGCAACTCAGCTTAGCCACGTACAACACTTTTTAAACCAGACATGGATTGTTACCAAGTGGTTATCTCTTACAAGTTTTCATTTCTGCAAAGGAACAATCTGTTGAATCAAACAGGAATAAACAATTCAAAACACAACAGGCACTTCAAGGCCAATGAATAAGGACACTTAATTTGCTTTCATGAACACTAATGAGGCTGTATCTCACGAACCCATACCCTATGTCGAAGCTGCGGAGACCTGATAAACAAGCCGAGAAGAGAACGCCAGAGGGAGGATGAGCCCGAACGGAAGAGTGCGAACTGCAGGGTAACGCTTCGAGTGACGAAGTGGGAGACGGAGAAGGCATGAAGTCGGAGAGGGCTGCGAAGGAGACCGGAGTACAGCAAGTGCGAGAGATGCAGAGAGTAGCCCGGGAGAGGAAGGTAGAAGTGAGAATACGGCCGGCCCGACCCGGCTGGCCCACAGGCTCAAGTTGTTAGGTTCAGGTTTTAAGCTAGCAGGCTTAAAAATGACCGGACAGGACCCATGGGCGAAAAAGATTGGTTTTACCTTATTAAAATTTTAAAAATATTCTAATTTGTTAGGCTTAATTGTGACGGATTCAAAACTGTCAAATGGGCTTTCAGTGCATTTAAAAAAAATTATTATTTTTCATATTTTTTATATTTTTATAAAAAATAAAAATAAACTAATGAATTTATTAGTAAAAGACATAAATATGAATAAAATTAAGTTACAAATACAAAATATATCATATCTAAATATCTATTAACATTTAAGAATATCTTAAACATTCATAAATAAGAAAACAACATCAAAAAGTTCTATCAATAGTGTAAATGTGCAATAGATAAACATTATTATTATTATTTTAAATTTCATTATCACTATAATCAGTTACTCTTCTTCATGAGTATGCTCTTCTTTCATAACAAAATATCAAATTTTTTTTTTTTAAATTTTGTGATGTAGCTATTATTTTACTTTAGTTTGAAAAGCATTGTTGTTGAAACTCATAAATTTTTAATTCAAATTATAGAATTACAAATTATATAAGTATAAAAATATTCATATAGTTTAAAAATATCAACACATATAATATAAATCAAATCATTATTAAAATCCAAATTAACCTATTTTTTAAAATTTAATTAGACAAATTATTGTCTAAAACCAAATAAATCAAACCATTATGTGAAATTTAATTTCAAAATGATAATAATAACTAAATATTTGAAATGTTATTAACAATTTAAAAAAATTAATAATATTAGAATTATACAAAAAATTTATATAAAAACAAAAAAAAATATAAAAATGCTTAAACGAGCTGATCCTCAGGCCCACACGACTGGTCGGCTTAAACTTTCAGTCTTATAGAGCTAGTCTTTTTAAACTGGTTTTGTATTTAAAGAGAAAAATTTTAAGCTTGATCCTTATAATCATTGGATCTAAACGGACTAGCCCGCGAGTTCATTTGTTTTTTCAGCTCTAGGGAAGGTTTGGTGGTTTTTTTTTTTTTTAAATGTTTATCAAAAGGGCTCAGTGTTTTTCATTAAATTACAATTTTGCCGTTGACATTTTTTTGGGCCAAAATAATGTTGCCAGTTGCCATCCACGAATGATTTGTTTTTTTTTTACCTTTCAAATTAGCACCGCGTGAAAGAATCATTTAAAGACATCTATAAATTCACGTTGACAATTGGATATTCATAACTATAATATGACTTTTCACAGTAAAAATAAGTGACTTTACAACTAAACTGATACATTCACAATCAAACTAAACATTTTCACAACCAAAATACAAAAATTTATAATAAACATTAGGTGGTTTATAGCAAAGATGAGCTAGTTTACAACTAAACATAAGCATTGATGACTAAGCTAATTGAATTCACAATTAGTGATTCATAAGAGGCATTCAGGGATTTAAAACCATTGACAATAAGTGAAGGAGTTAACATTCACAAATAAAATACATGAATTTACAACAAATGGCAATAAGTGAGACATTTAGCATTTATAAGTGAAATACGAGAATTAACTACCAAGATTAAGTGATTCACAAGAGGAATACGAAAATTTACCACGATTGGTAGTAAGTGAAGGAAATGGTAATTTTTCCAGCTGTTGCACCAATAAACATTAAATTGTTATAATCAACTTGTAAATGCACTAATTGTTGCTATAAAAAAAAATTTTGTTTATGAAATGAATAATCATTTAAAATTTGATGAAAAAATATGTTTGTTTTGTTCAATATTTACGTAAAGTAAAATGAAATGTATAGAAAATTAAAAGGATAAAAAAAGTTGACTGCAAAGATATCTGTTAAATTTTAATGAAATGAGGCCTAAAAACACTTTACTAAAATCTATATCTTAGATTTAAGGTTTTGATGATAACGAATTAAGGAATGTATGTTTTAGTAAGTTGATCAATCATCTAATCGATCAAAGGTTTATCGATCATATGATAGATAAAGTTCTTGTGTGAACAACAAATTTAGCAGAAATGCTAATCGATAACTTGATAGATAAATCAATTTGTATGTGTTGATTGATCAATTAATCGATCATTGTTAACACTATTTTGTATAGAAGTTTGCAGAAAATTATTGATCAATTGATCGATAATCTAGTGATCGAACAACTGACAAATAATAGGACATAATTTTTGGTAAGTATTTATTGATCACTTGATCGATAAAAAAGTCATCGATGAAGAGACAGATAAATGGTAAAGCTTCCTTCTCTCGTTGAATTTTGTTTTAATAATCATTTATCAATCACTTTATCGATCACAGATTTATCGATAACTTGTTCTGTCATTATATAATAACCTACCTATTTATCGATATTTCTCTGAATGTTTAAGTGTTTTTGAAAAGCCCTTTATCAATCACTTGATCGATCAATGGTTTATCGATCAAACAATTGATCATTACCCTTTTACTAGATTAAACTATGTTGAAACATTTCTTCGATCACTTGATTGATCATTTCTTTATCAATAAAATGATCGATCATCCATTCTATTTTCACATAACATGATCGATCAAACCTTTTCCTTGCATCTCAAAAACTAAGTTTCTCCACTATATTTTTATCGATCACTTTATCGATCAATTTTTAATCAATCACTTACTCATCATCTTAGGATTTGTGCTCTTTGAGAAAATCTTTGTTAAAACTTTTTTATCGATCAAATTTTCTATCATCCATTTATCAATAAAGTATTCGATCAATGTACTTTGAAAATCAAATTTTCTCTTGTTTATCTTTATCAATAAATTGATCGATCAAACATTTTTCAATCACTTATTCGATCAATGATTTAGCTCTTTCAATACTAGAAGCTGCGGTGTGATTTAAGAATCTTCTGAATATTTCTCTTCGAGCTTTTGTCAGCCTTGCTAATTATCCTAATGCTCTATATTAAGGGTTTCAAAATCATAGGTGACCTTGAGCATTTTCTCTACATAATCTTTCTGAAATTATTTTTTTCATTTATCGATCACTTGATCGATCATGTATTAATCCATAACTTGATCGATAAATATACTTATCTGTTTAAAAATCTTTCATCTTAATTAATCGATATCGTAATCGATAAACCAGTTATCAATCATGTCTTCTATCAAGGATGATTAGTTCATAGTTATTGGATCTATTGTTTGATTGATTTCCTTCTCATCTACCATAAAAATATTATTCCCAATTGGTTAGTTATCTTCTTGAGTTTCATTCTGAAAGACAAACTTATTAGAGTGAAGTATTTTTACAGATTACGAAGAAAGTTCAACAGTTATCCAATGATTATTTAGTAGCCTGTAACCTACCATGTTAGAAGCAATAAATGGCGAATACCGTTGCAACTAGAAAAACACGCAACCGAACTCTCAACGGCTAGAAGCTCTTCTGTCTAACGGTTATTAAACTTCTGCAACTATAAAAGGTGCAAAGAAGCATTGAATGCAGATATTGAATACATGAGCTACCTTCTGAAAATATTTTACTGTTGTATTTAATACTCTGTTTTCGTTTTTAACGAGCTTCAGTGTTTCTCATTCATTTACTCTGTGAGAGAGAATAATACACCAACTTTAATCACTTTCTGAGTGTAACTCAAGAGTATGACTCTTGAGTGGGTTTGTAACCTTACGGGTAGTAAGGGGGAGTGATTGAGAAGATCAATTGTTGTACTGAGGCACCAAGAGCCCGGTTAATCTTGGATCATAGTAGAAATCTCGAAAGTGTTCTGAGAACTAGATGTAAGTTAAGTGGTTAAGACTGAACCAATATAAATCCGGTATCTTTGATCTGCGGTGAAATCTTTCTAACTCTAAAGCTCTCTGTTTTACTAATTTCATTGTTTCAATTTAGTTAAAATTTTTATAACTCATCCAATTCACTCCCTTTTTGGGTGAGACAGTCACTAATGTTATAAAAAAAAGATTATGAAGTCAAACATTTTATTAAAAAAATATATGTTTGGATTTTGAAAAAAAGAGAGAATGCGAATGTAAATGAGAATAAAATCGTGAGCGAGTTCTAATATGATAAAATGATTATATTCCATGTATCATGTAATATATGTGTGTGTATTAGTGATTGAGTTTAAAATATTTTAAAATGCTTTTAATATGTTGATTGTCTTACTTCTAAAATTTTAAAATAATAAATCAATATGAAAAAGATAATAACACCTTATCGGATCTAATAAAACTCTCTCTCTCTCTCTCGCAGGGTCAATTTAGTCTTTTAGCTTCACAATTTAATTTTAAATTACCTTTTATGAAAGCATTTTCAAATTAAAAAATATATTTGATCAAAAACCCAATCATAATTTTAAAAGTAATTTTACGATATATGAAAGATGAATTCACCTCGATTTACAGAAAAATAATTTTTAAAAACACTTTTAAGTGCTCCAAGCACTTCCGAGATCTCTTTAGAGGGGTTAAATGGAATTCTCCCACGGAAGAGAAAAACAAACCACACAGAATTTTCCTTCCTACCGTATGACAATAGCAAATCATTATTGAAAGAAAAGTCATTAGAACGAGTATTATTGTTATGTAGCAATCATGTATTGGAGGATGTTTCCCAAATATCGGTGCAGGGATGTTATCCCTATGCAATATGGCTAGAAAATGACACAAATTAAACGACGCAGAAGCAAACTCAAGATGCTGGGCTTCCAAATTATTACTCGTACATGCGGGAGACAATCAGATTCATAACGGGTAAAATAGACCCAAATTTAAAGCTTGTCCTCGTATTCTGAAAGCGGAGTCATCTGCTCTTTCAAGCCCTTCCTCTTGCGAATGTCTGCAATAATCTGTGCAGCTTGCGTTCCAGGCTCAAGTGGATCCGATGACAACATATCCCAGTGATCAAATATCAACTGTGGGAAAGCCTGTCCTGATGTTGCAGCCCTCAATGTGCTCGAGAACCCAAAAGACTCAATCACAGGCAGGTATGCCTTAATGTTGTAGAGTGGGGTCCCAGGTCTCTGCATTTCCTCAAACACATGTCCACGTTTCTGGTTAAGAACACTGTAGATTCCACCCAGAGCCAGCTCAGGAGCTTGGATCTCCACCAGATAAACAGGCTCAAGCAGCCTGGGCTTAGCAGTCAACTGGGAAGCATAAAAGACTCGCCTTGCTGTTGGAATTATCTGACCACCTCCTCTGTGGATTGCATCAGCGTGAAGAACAACATCACAGACTTCAAAACAAATGCCCCTCATGTTCTCTTCAGCCAACGCACCTTCTCTTGATGCCCACTGGAATCCGGCAACAACAGAGTCCTTGATTTCATTCAGGTACTGCACTCCCTTACACATATCCACCACCATGTTAGGCCCCGTGGTTTCGGGTCCAAAACACCAGATTTTCTTGGCAAGATCCTTGTCCCAGCCAAACTCTTCGGCCAATATTCTCGAACGGCTCTTGGGGTCATCTCTGGGTCCAATCTTGCCTTCATCAATTGCCTCTGCAAGCCCTTCCTCCATGGGTCTTGCTTCCATGTATAGACGGTTGTGCTTGTTGGGTGACTTGCTCATCACGGTCCGGCAAGATCTCTCGAGAACAGTTTCACGGAAGGACACAACAGGGTCGGACTTTATAATCTCAGCTCCGCCCATGAAATCGTCTTGCAAGTCCTTCAAACATATCTCGAGATGTAGTTCTCCTGCACCAGCAACGATGTGCTCTCCGGACTCCGCGATGGTACACATAACCATAGGATCTGATTTGGCCAACCGTTTGAGACCTTCAACAAGCTTTGGAAGATCAGACGCAACCTTGCACTGAACAGCAACACGTACCACAGGGGAGACAGAGAACTTCATTGCTCGGATAGGATGGGCATCGACTTCCTTTTCATTTGTTAATGTAGCATTTTTGGTAATATATTGATCCAGACCAACCATAGCAACTGTGTTGCCACAAGGCACATCCTCAACAGTTTCCTGCTTCTTTCCCATCCAGATGACAGTTCTTTGCACATTCTTAACATACAAGTCCTTCTTCTCCCCAGGGACATAGTTTGGCCCCATGATTCTGACCTTCAAACCAGTGGAGACCTTGCCAGAGAAGACACGGCCAAAAGCGAAAAACCTGCCCTTATCAGATGCAGGAATCATTTTTGAGACATAAAGCATCAGGGGTCCATCACGATCACAATTCCTGATTGCTGTGGCATACTGATCATCGAGAGGTCCCTCGTACAGGTTTTCAACACGATATTTTTGGGCTCTTGATGGGGAGGGAAGATGGAATATCATCATTTCCAAAAGTGCACTGCTTGCTGGGAGCCAGGTCTGCATGACACGTTTCATCAATGCTTTACCCATCAGTTCCTTTTCCTCAGATTTCATGGTGACTCCAAGCTTTTGCAACATAGGCCACAACTTATCCTTTTGATCATTCATACAAGTGGAAATTATCTGCTTGATAGGCTCATAACAGAACTGAACAAACCCACGCTTGCAGGTAGATGAACCAGTGTGCCTGGTGGTCCATTTCTTGGTTGCTGGATCAAAGAAGTTCTCACCCCACAGCCTTTCCATCATCTTTGACTCATCAACTCCAAATTTAGAGGCATACATCTTAGCAAAGTTGGTCAAAGTGAAAGCCCAACCATGCAAACCAGCAGAAAAAGCAACTGTTCCTTTCTCAGGATAAACCTGACAATCACCAAGCAGGGGATCTTCATATGTAGCCATGATCACATTGGCATTCTCAACAACCCTTTGAAAGGTCTGGTAAGCCTCCTCTCCATCCAACTGGAGCTCAAGGAAGCACCTGTCCATTTTATTCACAGTCAAAACAGGCTTAATTCTTTCTCCAAGTGCCTGTCGAAGCACAGTTTCAGTTTGGACGCAAACACCTTCAATACAATCTACCACCACTAGAGCTCCATCAGTTATACGAAGTGCAGCTGTGACCTCAGAGGAGAAGTCCACGTGCCCAGGGGAGTCAATCAAATTTATAAGATACTCATTGCCATTGCGTTCGCCTCTGTAGCTCTTGAGAGCCTCATCAGTCAATGCGTAGTAGAGAGAAATGCCAGTAGATTTGATTGTGATGCCACGCTCTGCTTCATCTTGACGGGTATCAGTCATCCGGACATCACCCGCCACTTCCTGGGCAATAATCCCAGCAGCCGCCACAAGAGAGTCAGTGAGGGTAGACTTCCCTGCAATTGGAAATTAAGACCATAAAGTGTGATTTCACGACATCAAAGAAAAGCGATTTCATGACATTACAGCTTGGTTATGCAATAATAACATATGTTAAAAACAAAACACTTTTTCCCAGATGCCAATGAAGTTATTTTTTGCCTCTACATATCTTGAAAGACATATGCAGCAAACGTTACAATACAAATGCCTATGCCTTTTCTCTCACAAGAAACAAGAAAGATCTATTACCGGACTAAATACTATGCTGCAGAAACAGTAAAAAAATTGAGCAAATATTACATGTGCTGCCTAATCCATACCATGATCAACATGTGCGATAACAGACATGTTACGAATATTGTGCTTAAGGTCCATAATGCGACGGAGCTCTTCAGCTGTGAATTTCACCTGCACATATTAAGACAACATTAAAAAGAAATTACGCAGAGTCCATGAATTCACCAACTTCAAATTCCAGGAGCATTTTTATTGACTTACCATCTTGTCTTGTCTTTATATTCCAAAGCAAAAAGGATTGATTAAACTAATTTGAAACTGCAAAAGTAAGAAAATTACAGAGTAAGATAAGCGATAGAATAAATGAAATGCAATGCAGGGCAAGCAGAATTACCAAGACAACTCACTTGGAAATCAAAACAAAATATACCCATAAATAGTCAGCAAAAATTATGATAGCTGTTGAATAGACAACAGGTGAGTAGACAACAGGAATTGCTACAAATATAGAATCATTAAGGTTTATCAACTTTCATTCGAGGAAGACAAATTGTCTTTACACTTCAAAGATGCAAATGTTTCAAGTTCTCTACAGTTTGCAAGAAGAGGCTACAAATATAAACAGTGATTGTTAAAAAAAAAAAAAAAGGCATTATCTCAAATAACCCAGAGGTAGGTTAAATCACTGTGCATATTTCTTAAAATAGGCATCAGAAGGATGAATTTTTTTTCCCTTTTAACAACTGATTTACCAATGAGATGAGCTAGATCCAAAGTCAACTCGATCACCCATTTAAACCTCAAAAAACCTCAAGACTGTCGAGTGCTAAAAGAATAAGTTAAGCATTACAAACATCGAGAAGAAAGGTCCTAACGATGATCAAGATGACCAGCGAAACATGTCCTATAGAGGACAAGCAAATGAAGAAAGCTATATCTTTTAGCTGCAAAACTTATATGTGCTAAGAGATGATCAAACACACCCACCCAAAAAAAAAAAAAAAAAAGCTAAAGCAAAAGCATATATCTAAAGCCAATCTAACTCGAAACTACAACAAAACACAGAGAGAGGGGGAGCACTGATCAACTATTAGAGAAACGATAAAAAACAGAGGATAGCGACCAAGTCGATAGTTTGTAAGTTTAACGAAATCGAACCTTAGAGAGATGGCACTGAGTGGCGGTGAGGAAGCCTTATTATGGTGATTCTTCCTCGGAGCCTTTCAGGAGAACGTCTCGCCGGAGACAATCAGATAGATATCTTCCTGAACGTCTCGCCGGAGAGAATGAGATAAGATAGTCCCGTTTCCTTCCACTACATGGGAAAGTTATCTATTCCTAAGCACATGAATGAATCTTGGACATTTCTGGACTTGTGCTGCGTGTCATCGTTTCACAGGGCCATGCTAACAATCTCTTAGCAATTTGCAGTGGAACTTTTCCTTTGTGTCAACGGAGAAGATGCTGACAAGTGCTGCTTCTTAGCTGTTCTGTTGTTGTTTTTTTTTTTTTTTAAATTTAAATGAAGCTACCTAACTGTTTGTTTCTTAATTGGTTTTACTTTCCGGGAATTGAGAAAAAACAAAGAAGAAAAATTAAATTGAAAATTTCTCTCTATAAATTAATATCATCTCATGGTCTTAAGGAAAATTAAAACTGGGGTATCACATAAAAATCTAATTTTTTAAATAATAACTGAAATCTATTCGTTTGTTAAGAAAACAATTACAAAAGCCAACTTAAATAGACCTGGTAATGAAGACAATAGCCCTTTAGACCAACCAATATGAATAAATATCGTGTACATGATCCCAATCGTATCAAGCTGGAGGAAGGCAAAAAATCACAAACACCTTTGGGCATCATGGTCATTAAACTCTGCAAATTATTTATACATCTCGGGAGACTTTTTATAATTCTTGTAACAAAGAATTATTTTTTTTTTAATGCATAGAGTGCTTTAGATTAAGAGAGGAAAGCATCTGCAGGAAAATGAACACTTAAAGGATATTTGTAAAAAGACGAGATAATTTTAAAGACATGAATTAGTTTCCTTTAATTTATGTAAATCAAATAATTTCGTCTTATAAAAAAAACAGTAGAGGTATTATATATATATATATATATATATATATAGATAATAGATAGATTGATGTGTTTTTCCATGGAAAGTTTTGTTTTTGGCCTGATTTTCCATGGAAACCGAAAGCATGGATATTTGCGAATTTTATTTGTTGCAGTTACGGTCGTGTTTCCTCATTTTTGCTGAGAAGAATGAGTTGGTAAAAATAATGAAGAGTATTATAATTATGAATGACGGTTCACGAGTGGACCAAAACAAATTTTATTAATAAAATGATGATTGGATATATTTATAAGAGCGTGTTTATTTGACCGCAGCCAGGGGAAAAATATGCATTATTCACACTGGCCGGCAATGTTTGGTTGGGGCTTCTTGGGAGGGCGGGCAGATTTTTTTGTCCTTTTCCTTTCCCCTCCAAAAGTCTAAAGTGAGTTTTTTGAAGGGAAGAGAAATTTTAAGTCTCATGTTGACTATATTGCCCATGCCAAATTTTCAATATTTTCTTACCAAACCGTTGCTCGCAAGTCACGCGTCCTGATGCATCGTACGTATCCAATCTTTCAGCTTCACGCGCCTTTTCGTTTTCTACGCCGTCAGGTTCTCATATAATTATAGTAGATTATTAATTTTACACAGATCTAATATTTTTTATAGCCGAATAATCCAAATTTGTATATGTATATGTTCCCTCTCCATATATATGTGTCTCACTTTTATTATTTTATTTTATATAAAAAGTTATATTTTTAAAAATACAAAGCAAAAGAAGAATATTTTGGGGTGGGGAGAAATTAGAATTTCTTAGAATAAGAAAGGCCATGAATCCGATCCATATATATATGCCTTACTTTTTATCATTTTATTTTACAAAAGAAACGTTATCTTTTTAAAAATACATAGAAAAGTATGAATTTTTTTAAAAAAATATATCATAATTGTTTCAATAAGAAGTGCTGAAAGAATACAAATAAAATAATATATCCTAATTAAATTAAATATGTAGTATGTCTTATAAAGATCTTTTACTTATTTTAAATCTAATCATACGTAGTTATTCTAGTTTATCATTAAACCTTGGGACCCTTGACCATGTTGGCATTTCCTTTTTTATTTGGGGCCAAACTGTTGGCATTTCTTTTAACACATTACATAAATTGGTAAATACTTATAACATATCATAAACTTGTAAATATGTTGTATCTATTTTTTAATTTAATTCTATATTTTTATCGTATTTTATAGGGATAACAGATTTTAAAATTAATAAAGTCATAATTTCTTTTGATATAACTCATAGTATCCTCAAACCGCTTTAGGCTTGAAATTAATCTATCAGGTCGGGAGCATTAATATAGAAGTCTTCTCAACAAATGTGCTTCCTGGTATTTAAATTTGTGTTCTCCTTTAATGAATTGGGGCTTCTTACCATCTCAACTAACAATTTATTAGTAATAAAGTCATGATTTAATATAAAAATATTTTATTACATATATGAGTTAGGTAACAAACTTTTAATATTCAAGTATTAGAAAATAACAGTTCGGATGTAAATATCATACAATGATGTGGTAAACCTATAATACCCGACTTTTTTTGACTTAGTAAAAGCATAAAAAAATTCACTAAAATTATTTAATATCTAAGTAAATTGGGAAAAAATTGTGGAATATTAATTTTAGGGACTTGGAAATTTTATGGAGAAGTTTATTCCCAAAAAAATAGCTTAAATAATTTTAAAATTAATTTTTGGGGCAAAAATGGCTTACTTTCCTAGAAAATTTGAGAAAAATAGCTAGGAGTCAACTTTTGACCTGAAAATTTTAGAGAAATTATTTTATTGATCAAAGAAACTAACAGATAATATAAATCCATATAGAATATCACGGATAAATTTCTGGGTTTATCTTATATTTCAGAAAAATAGAAAAAGGGATGAAATTGGAATAAGGGAAGGAAATTAAGGGCATGGGCATAGTGGTCATTTAGCTTCACCAGTTCCCTCTCACATGCCACTCCCTTTTAATCTTCGGAAAACGCTTCCTACCACCTCATTTGCAAGCAGAACGCGAAGAAGAGAGAGTGAGCGAGAGAAAACAGAGCGCCGGCGGAGTGAGAGAGCTCACCGCAAGTGGTGATCGGAGGGCTATACTTGCATGCATCTGTGATTTCTAGCTAAGGTGAGCCTCATGAGTCCCTTTCAGTCTTCGTTTTCTGGATTGATGCTTGGTTTCGGCGTGTTTGAGGGGAGAGAGAGATGGGTAGTGAGAGAAAGTGAAGGAAAGAAGAGGAGGACCGGTGGATTCGTGTCGTACGGAAAGAATGAGGTATATGATGTTGGGTTTGAGCTTGCATATCAATTTTTAGCTCTGTTTAGAGGGTGGCCGAACAGGGGATCAAGGTCTGCAAGTTTGAGTTACGTTGTTGCATGTCTTCCCTCTTGCCTCTTCCGTGAGAATCTGAAACATAGCATGTGTTTCTGGTTCATGGGTGTCGGATTCATGGAGCCAAATGGGGAAAAAACTGAAACTGATATACATATAAATATATATATGTATATGTATAATGTAGTCCATGTTAATTTTCGGTTCAATGTTGTTTTTCATCATCTGTTTTGGCTGCTAAAAACAGAATTCATAGTTGCTGGTTTAAGATGAGAATGGGTTGTGTTAATGGAGTGTGTTGAATGGATTGCATGTGGGATTTTCACTCTGTTTTGATTTGACTGAAGCAGAGATTATGTAGCTCATGAAGATAGAATCAGATATGTGCTTGTAAGGAGAAAGATTTCGGTTTGGTTTTGCTGGGTATTAGTCGAGAGCATAAACCAGCTTAGTAACATAGTTTATGTGGGTAATTTCGGTTGGATATAGTTTCTATTCCTAATTAGTAAATTGGAGATACGCTTGTAATTATAAAAGGTTTGTTTGTTTCCTCAATGGGAGAGTGTGATATTTAAATGTCTAAGTGCTTAAAATATATATATATATATATATATGTACTCAAATGGTTTCGGGTTATGAGAGTAGAAAGGATTTAGTTTGATGAAATTAATTAATTTTAATGCTTATAAATTTGAGAATTGGGAATGCTATTAAATCTGGAATTTTAGCTAAAAGCGAAGAAGAAGAGAAATTGTAACGGGATCTTTGAGTTTGAATGCGGATACATATATGTATACTTGGGTGTTGACCGAAAGTCAGAGGAAGTTAGGCTTATTCTGTATTAATGAATTTACTATTTTATGTTGTGCATTTTTGGTAAATGGAAGGAGTAAAACATTAGATATATATGTATATGTGCTGTAAATAAAGGGCAGTGGCTGTTTGATATTTGTGAATGCTACGAAAGAACTTAAAATGATCGAGTTAAGGATTAAGGATGCATAAGACATGCTTAGAAGCAATAGAATGATGTTTGAGCTTTGATATTGATGCTGGAAAATTTTATAAAAGTGAATATTTTAGAAAACCGAAGGGTGTTTGATTGAAACCAGTGATGCTCTTTGATTAATTGACGGTTAGCTATTTAAATTAGGTATTAAGTGTCAAATGGTAGATTAAGGCCGGTTACAATCTTCAAAGGATCCATCTTGTGCAAACTGGAAAAGGATAATGGTTTAAAGAGTGTTTGAATGTGGAAAATAATTTCAGATTGAGAGTAGGAATTAAGCATTATGGGGTATTAGGTAATAGTTAGGAAAATGAATTGGAGATGGAATTTGACTTGGTTTTGCTAATTCATGATTATGAACTATGAGTCATTGTTTAAAGGTATAGGAGATCACTAAGGGTTCAATTGTGAATGTTGAAGTAAGTATCCTAAATTAAATAAATTTGGTTAGAAGAAGGAAAAGAATTTGTAATCTGTTAAGTTTGAGATTTTGGAGGTAATTTAAGAGAAATCAAAACGGGATGAGCATGTTTGGATGATGATTGAGTAATTAAGAATGAACATAAAAATTTATAGGAATTGAGACAAGATGTTTGAAGTTTGGGGTTTTAATTTGATTGAAATTGAAATTAGAATCAAATTGATTGCGTAAGAATTCAAGAGGAAGAAACAAAGTTGTCGATACACACACACACACACCTATGCATATCTTTCGGTCAAGCTTATTAAGAAAGAGATTGGGCTTGCTTGATTTGAATTCAAATAATTGAAGTTAAAGGTTAATGATAGAAGGTAGTCAAGTGTTTGGTTGAAATTCTGAATG